GAGCAAGATGCTGTGGGAAACTGTGTCGAATTGAGGGTTATATTTGTCATGGTTGAAGGTGTCCTTTTTCTTTGTTTTCATTGTGATGGATGTGAAATTTTGATCAAAACAGGTTAATGGTTTGGCAGACTGAGAAAGCTAAAACAGCTTAAAAATAGGTTGCATGGCATAGTAAAACAGGTGCAGAGGAAGGAAAAAAGAAGAGAAGTTTTTCAGGAATGGAAATTTTGTAAAAAATCTACCCAAATTTAGCTAGAGTATAATGCAAAATTAAAAATAAAATCACCATTTTCACTTTCTAGCAGACAAATATCTCAGATAAAATCTGAAGATCTAGTTCTCGCCAAACAAACTCAAGCTTCTGTGTGTCCCTATTACCAGCTGCCAACTGTGCAATGTAGGGCTTCTGACTGGAAGAACCCATAGTTCCAGACAGAAGCTTTCCAGACAGAAAGTCCCCACACAATCCCATCTTCCAATCACCTGTCCAAAAAATACTCCATACCAGGTAGAAGAAGTCATCCAGCCACCTGCCAAGATACCGGTTTTGTATCTTCCCAATCCAAGGGTCTTGGTAAGTTTTATGAGTTGCAGTGAAATAAATACTTTCTGTTGCAGAGCTCACCAGGGCAAAGGGGATACAGACCCACTAGGATAGAAACAGAAATAGTTAACCATTTCCCCAGAGCCCTTGTTCTTGGACAAGCTATTCAGATATTGAAATTAAGCAAGACATAGAACATAAAGTTTCACAAGATTAAACCCAGACTAATAGCCTTCCTTTATCTCCCTTCCTGACTCTAAACCTACGTATTCCTGGTTCATCAAGAACATGAGGCTGTAGTTCAGGTCAACTGGTGCTTTAAGGAAACAGATCTCTCTCCTTTCCAGCCAAGATTGTTCTGGACAGGTTCTGCAGTCCTTATGAGCAGCCATGTTCACCTAGCAAGGCCAATAGCTTGTCTGAGCACTGACTAAAATCCATCAGAGCTGTAAGATGTTTCAGGAGACCTGTTCTCTTGAAGAGGAACTCTAGGGGAATGGGCTAGTATTGATGGAGGTATTTTTGGTCTAAGACATACTGAAAAGAGCAGAATTTTCCCCCTTAGTAAAGAATCTGGTAACAAAGAAATGCATAGGACTTGCCAGGCTGAGAGCAATGAAAACCAGCTGGATGATATCTGTGTAGGCCACAGAATAGAGGCCTCCCAGTAGAGTGTAGAGTACGACAGTGCATGCTGAGGCGATGATGGCCAAAGAGCCTCCAATATCCAAGATGACCTTCATTGTTGCTCCTGCAGACAAAGTGGTCAAGTACTTCAAGACAGATTTTAGACATGCAGAATACAGAATCAATAAAGATGTGTTATTCCCTTGATGTCAGCACACCACACTGTGTGAGAAGTGCATGGTCTACAGAGAGTAGGCAGAGTGAGGACTCAGGAGGGACGTGTTCCCTTTCTGCTCCTACCTTGCTGCATGGCCTTTGCCAAGGCACTTCGTCTTTTTACATCTGCTCTCTCGCAGACAAGTTAAAGGTTTTTTGAAAAACTCATCTTGCCAGACTTTTCTATTATAATATGATGAATATATACTACTGTCATTTGTTGTAGACCTAAAAACATGTTTTCCAGAAATGAGAAATGCTTGTGTTTCTCTCACGAAAGGAATCAGGAAACAAAACTTTCCACAGCTTATTCCAATGCAATTCTCAGATTTGTATTACACTTTGAGAGTTGAGCCACATGAACTTTGACAAATATAACAACAAAGTAAATATTTACCCAGGGATGCCAGGATAGCTGCAAACCAGAACATCTCTCCTAGCAGTGATGGAATGAACAGTAAGCTTCCCATCACGTTCCCATAAGCTTCTTGAAGGGGATCCATCACTGTCACATAATTCTTGGTTCTCATTGGATTTACAAAGAAGAAACCACCTATCAGAAGTGTTGACATTTTGGTATAAATTTGCATGTATTATATACCAGGAAAAAAATGTAAGAATACTATGGTAGTTGGGTATCAGACCCTTATGGTGCGTGTGGAATTCATACACGATGAACTCTAGAGAATGGTGCAGCCAACCAGACACAAGGGCCTCAATTCACTTGCCTAGATGTGGGGTTTCATTCATCTGAGAGGTCCCAGGTTATAAAGGACATCTGCTTATAGCTGATGGATATGACCCTGCACTTTTGACAGATCTACATCTTTCCAGAGCGGCTACCAGCAGCCAGGTAGGACCCCGTAGGCCATCTCAAATGGCATAGGATACTTGTGTGACCGTAACAGAACTTAGCTCAGAAGACACACACATACAATCTCCTTTCCCTCTCCAATAACCTACCAACCTAAAAGACAAACTTTTCTGAAACAGTCCCTGTGGCAAATGTCAGTAGGCAGAGTGAGGCATTGAAGACTCATATTTGACTAAGAAAAAGACAAACTTTTGTCCTTGACCATGTGAAGCAACATGTTGATATATGTTCCTTTTCTGGTTACATTTTCATTTTGGTGACTTCATTGTCTCTCCCCAGAACTATATTGTTTTAATCTGCACATTGAGCTGAGTCCCACCCATCTTCATCTGAATATTACACTTCAGACTTACAGCTGTCTCATTAAAACCAAAGAATACGTATTGTGCCTAACCCTGAAGCCACCAGGGCTGCTCATCTGGGCAGTACTGACCTGAGTAAAGATTGCAGGATGAGACCTGCACTCTCCAATTTCATTAGTAAGAATTACTCACATAAGAATGCTGGCAGTATAATTCCAAGCCTGATTCATATTCATGTCACTTGGACTCTCTTCTCTGACTTAAGAATAAAGGTTACTGTTCTTTTAGATGTTCCTATACAAGGTTTGCACAGGTCTCCTTGCTTTAATCATCCCATGTGGCTAGAGAGTTATGGTATAACTCAGTGTGGACTGAAAGAAACTTTGTTCCTGGCAACACAGCTGAGCCTCAGTGTCAGTCCAATAATTCTTGGAGTTAGAAATGGCAACTTAGGTATAGGACACTGCAAACTTAGCTTAGTTTCAACAAAATAGTGACCAGCTGTAAAGATGGATAAGCTGGAAGCACTACAAATTCATCCTGAGATGAGACTACTCAGAAGAATGCATTTTAGTGGAAAATCAAGATAGTATTATTTCATCAGACAGAAATTTCGAATAAAAAAATTAAAATGACACCAATACTCTCAAGAGTCTGTGAATAAGGGACCATGATAAAAAAGCAAAATGCACATAGCAACATGCTTCTAAAGTTCCTAGTTAAGATTTTTGTCCTATAAATTGCTTCAAGCAGGCAAAACTCCACACTAGCTCCAAGATACCTCAATTTCTAATGCTTCAGTTTAGAGGATAGTATTATAAGTGTTTATTCTGGATCTATGGGAGACTGAAGAAACTAAATCACCTTTAAAATCTACTCTGTACTCTGTTACACATGCTAATATACTCATACGATTTTTTTAAAAAAACTTATATGTTCTGATTACATGAATTTTTTACCAATAACAAGTGACAAGGCAAATCCCACAGGTGCCTGGACCCACAGCAGTCCTTTTGAAGGCCGGTAGACTATTTCAGCTGTGCCATTGATATATGCTCCTCCAACCCAGGTGGCTGTAAACATGGAAGATGGAAAGGTAAGAATTATGATACATATTCTCAGCTAGTCTTGTAGAATACTCTGAGAGCTTATAAGCCTTTTTCTCATATAAATATTTAATCACACTTCTGTTTTCTTTACAAAGTTTTCTCTCAGATGTGCTGTGGAGTACAGGTAACAGTATTAGAATCTCACCCTAAATAATTTCCCACATTCAAGAATGAATAACTATGTGTGCATGAAAAAGCTCAATGTTTAAATATTTAGAGGCTGTTTCAATGTAGTTCTTTTTAATTTCGTTGTTCTCAGTGGAAGATTTTTGCTACAGCAAACAGAATTGCCTTTGTTATTCTGCTGTGACTGAGAGAGCATCCTTCATTGGCATCATTTACAAAGTCTAAGAAAATAGACATTAGGAAAAAAAACTGCAAGAAGACGTTCCAGTCAGAACACAAACCTACAACATGAGCTTAAGTGTCTTAGCCAGGCAAATACCACCTGGGGAAGCTTTCACCAAAAAAAACAGCGTAGGGAAGGGATTTTCAGATGATGCCAGGCAGCAAGAAGAGGGCATCAGTCAGTGGGGAAACATTTTTTCTTCAGAAGAGAAGCCAGTGCTCACCATAAGCAGTGTTTTCATATCATTGCACACAGAACTGGATTGTTCCAGGAGCAAAGTTCTTCTGTTATGCTGGATGACAGAATCTCGTTCAAAATTAAGACCACAGTCCTCCTTAATAAAAAATGTCATATTCTTCAGTCTCTCTTAATTTAAACTCTTTAACTCTTAACTAAACTCTTAAATTAATTTATTTTGTTTAAAAGAATCTACATAAACATTAAGTTCTGCTCAGTGTGAAGAGGTTTGGAAGAATCCATTCCAAAATAATTCATGAAATCATACTCCTTTAAAGACACGGTTAGTTAAAATCTGCCCTGACATTAAAGGAGTTCACTTGGTTTGAAAGAAAAGTCTCCTGGATCCATGTAATGCATTTATTTTAAGAAGAATTTTTAAAAGTCCTTTAAGAAAACTTACCTGTTGCAGTGAACAATCCAATGAAAACATTTATCCTCCTCCCTCCAACTATGGCCATTTCAGTTGGGTTTCTGTTCTGCTGGTCCTTTTTGCTTTTCCAAGAAGCCCAAATTCCAGTAGCTAAAGTTAACATAAAAAACACACTCAAAGATACTAAGCCAGATATATTTAGAGCCATTTCTTTAGCTTAATTTAGATCCTAGAAAGGAATAATGGCTTGATGATAATATTCTTTGATCAAGCCCACAGTCAGAAGAAAATAGAAAAAAACACCAGAAAAAAATAATGCTGCCTTGTACAGAAACAGCTAAGTATTAGTTTGCTGTACTTTGCAAGGAAAAATGCAGTACAAAACAGCCATAAACCCAAAAATCTTGAGAACTGGATGCAGAGTTGCTGTCTTTGGAGGGCCACTGGCAGCTCTTCAGTCTTCCCTCTTCTTCAAAAGATATTCTATCTTATTTTTCTGGGGAGCAGTGATTAAGAGGGTAGGAATTAGTGTTGATAAGAGGAGTGGAGCACTGATATGAGGGGTAACACTAGCTTGGCTTAAAGGAGGGGAAAAGTTATATTTTGTCTGATATGCAATGGTATGAAAATAATCCGTATTTCTTTAGGTTTTGTCTAGACACAAGGTTGACACAGAAGATAGGGCCAAGATTTTGTCTCTTTAAAGCTGACTGAAATAAACCCTCAATAATCATCAAAATAAACCTAGACAACAACAAAAAAGATTTACCACTGACTAGCCAAGGGAGCTGCATGCTGATATTCTAAGAAAACAAATTATTTCACTGCTGGAGACAGGCAGGAGAGCAAGGTGGTGTTGGACTCTTTAATAAAACTACAGGGAAGACACAGACTTGGTCAAGCTATATTAAACAGACATGATTCTGAGAAAAACTCTTACATGCCTTAATGAATGAAGTTGGTTACATTTGTTATAGAGTTGTCATACTGATATCTTTTTAGTTGCCCTGTGAATCTTTTTCATCTCTCCAGATATGAATCTTCATAACCAATTCTACATAAAAACTGTCCTATTTAGGGCACTTTTTTGGCTTCCCTGGATTCTCCCCTCCATCTGTGGAGCAGGGAAATCACATGGAAATCACAGATTTCTTCTTCTCAGATACACTCTGAGCAGGAGTTTGAAAGACCAAATCTTTAGGAAGCTTTTCTGCAGTGTGCCATCTTCTGCAGCCATCCAGGAGCAGCTGTGCATGGCAATGACAGTGCCACAGGTGGGCATGTCCCATGGGCAGGACATGGTAGGAACATACAGGCACATGGGCAATGGCTGTGGAAAGGAGATGGGGAGAAGTGCAGGAACCCCATGTTTTCTGGGACCCCTCTCTGTACAAAGGAAGAGGAGGGTTTCAGTAAGTTATGCAGTGATCTGGTGGGAAGTCTCTAAAAGAAGTGGTTATAAAAAAGTGAAAATTAAAAAATATGAAAAAGCCTGACAACCAGATGATTATTCATCCTGCCTTTGGAGAAATATTCCTTTATATTTATAATCAGATGCTATTTTGACTAAGCAAGGGGTTTTACACTCTGATAAGATTATTTATGTACAAAAAAGGACACTGTGCATTTTCAAGGCACATTTTCTGGGTGGTAATTAGAAGCGCTCCCTTTCATCTTAATTGTGCCTGCTACAAAGTCATAGAAACTGCAGCTGTTGGTGGCAATGGAGTCACTGATTTCTCTGGGTTCCCTTCCTTGCTCAAAATGGATGTTTCAAAAACTTTAAAAATGCTGTTTTCACACAGACACACACTAAGTTTTTTTTCTATGAACAAATGTTTTGCACTATATTCTCTAGGCAGGCACAGGCTCAGGTTAAAGGTGCACGCATCTGAGTCTCAGCAGCCAGGCACTCTTGGGAGGAAACACCTGGTGTTGCATCCTCTATCTGGAGGTCAAATGAATCCAACGTAACCAAAGTAAGATTTGAATTTGTTCTTTGATGTCTGTAGAGAACATCTGGACTGACTCTATTTTTATAATCTCTTGGGAAAAAAACCAACAAACAACCAATAAAAACTGTCAGGCATAAAAATCTGCAGGAAAGCTTCATTTAAAGACCCTGAAGAATGGAGGGTAGATGTGCTAGAACAAGATGTAAGTGAAAATGTTATACGATGGGATGAAGGAAACTCAGAAAAGAAGTATGTGTAAGGTAGTTCATCTGAAGCTGGAGTGTTTTTGGTGATATACAGTGAATAGAAGAAGGATTGTAAAAGCATGAGTTTATACCAATATCCTGGTTTGAGCTAAATAGAGCTAATTTTTTATTTAGTGATTTTACTTTTCAGCTCAGTCTCTTTTAAGTGGCTGAACTTGCTGAAACTAGCAGGGTGTTCTTCCAGTATGTGTTGCTAGAAGATATGCTCAAGGTCAGTTGACTCATCATGGGTGCCGTGTCTGCGCCTACAGGGGGGAAGCGGACCCAAAACTGACCAACTAGGTATTCCATCCCACATACCTCATACTGAGTATAAAGTTGAAGGATCACGAGGATCTTGGCCCTTCTTCCATCTTGGGGCCCTTCCATCTTGGACCCTTCTATCCATCTCAATCCTGCAGTGGCCGAGGTCTGAGCAGAACCCTGCTAGTTCATCTGCTGCTGATCCTGATCCATGTGTTTCTGCATCCTGCTCCCACCTGCTGCTGAGTTCGGTGTGGGACTTTTCCAGTGCCCTGCTCCGCAGAGCCTCTGCTGACGTATTCATCACTGGGGGAGTAGGGGGAGGATTTTATATTGGTTTTGTATAGATTTGTACACATTTGTATATATTTCATTATTTTCCTATTTACAATATTATCCTGTAGTGTTAGTATTATTGTTTTATTAAATCTGTTAGTGTATTTTCCAACCCGTAAAATCTCTCTCCCTTATTCTCTTTTCTCTTCCCTTCTGGGGAGGGGAGAGGGGTTAACAGAGAGCGTCTGACCAGGATTTAGTGGCCGGCCCTGCCCTAAACCACGTCAACCAAGAAGGGCAATTGCTCACTGAATCTGTTGTTGTGCTCTTTTACCACTAGATGACTCTCAGCTAATGCATTTATTTTACCAAAAAAAAAAATAAATCTAATTGAGAGATATTTCAGGTGGGCTTCACCTCCCTGTTCATGGCAGAGGGCTGCAGCTTTGGGTACCAGCTGCTGTGCTGCTCACTGCAAGCTCCCTGTGTCACTAATGGGGAGAAATACAAAATTTTAGGAGGTGATTCACTGACCTATTTTAGGTTCTGTGAGGCAGGACAGGGCAAGGGCAGATCTCAGTCTGCTGGACTCAGGGCTGCTTTTGAGTGGTGTCACATTTAAGTCACTTTTAAGAGTGCTACTCAGTAGATGATTCAGGACTTGATTCAGTTGCTCTCATAGAGATGGCTGGTGCCACTTGAGAAGGTCTAAAGCCTCTGAGATGTCCACATGGGCAAGCAGATGTTGCAGAGCCCCTGTAGGAGACACATGCCCTTCTGGAGCAGCAGCCAGGATATTCTGGTGTATCTCCAATGGTTCTGAGTATCTACTTGGGGCGTACTCAGCTGAACTCTTACTCTCTCCTTATCACTTGACATTGATTGAACAAACTCTGACATGGATGGCTGATGAAAATAGAGGAGTGACTGGAAGAAAGTAAGAAGTGCTGTATACCAGGGAAGCTTTCTGTCTATGGTGAAAATTATCCATATATCCATAATTATCATTATGGACAAAACGGTGGCCGCTGACTAAGATAAAGCTCTTGCCCTGCCTTTCTGGGCTAAATGTGCTACATTATTGATGATGAGCTTTAGACGGCTCTCTGTGCCCATGGGCTCATTAGGAAAGGGGCGCTGTCAGGAGAGTGAGGTCCCACTGGGAAAGGCATTTCTGAAGTGGGACTATCCTCAGTCACTCCTCTGGAAAGGGACAAGCCCAGAGAGCTGGTGCTTTGTAAGAAATGAAATAAAGTACTCTGAGAGTCTGGAAATTACTTCTTAAAAAAAATTAGGGAATTTTTTTACATTTGCTTGCAAAGAAGTGGTTGCCTTTCAGGAGCTCTCTGGGAGGAGAGAGGAAAGGCTGGGGCGGTGGCAGCCAAGCAGAGGCTGTGGCACAGGGTGGTCTGCAGGGACCAACCTCTCCCTGGTTTGCTTTGCTCTGCACACCAAGAAAAACGGAGCACTGGGGCCTGAGGCAGCTGAACTATTTGCATGAAAATGATCTGACAGTTCCTCTTGAAATGAGATGGTATGAATTAGTCTGTGGTTTTCAACACAGGTATTTGCATCAAGTCCTTGATCTTGGCAGCTGAGACACTGGGCCACTGGTCTCCAAACATTTACAATTTTTCACATGGTGTCCTTGGTCTAAATTTTTATTCTTATATCCTGTGTGGTGAGACCACACAGTAGGTAATAAATATATAAAAAAATAAACAAATATTTTGTCATCATGCTTGTATGAGTTTCTGACCATTAATTATTTAAGTTTGTTAGATAGAGAAGACAGATTGGTTGGTAGGTAGGTAGGTAGAAGACAGACAGACAGACAGACAGATAGATAGATAGATAGACAGGAAGAGAATAGAGATAAAAGATAGAGAAGAATATTAAGAATTCCTTAGTTTTACTAAAGTCTGCATGTGTGCAGTACATGAACAATTTCAGAGACAAAATACCTCTTTTCCTATGTTAGGAGATTTCCCTGAAATAATTCTATTTTGTGAAAAAAAAACAACAACAAAACCAAACTTAAAATCTGTAGTAATCCTAATTCTAAAATACAGTATTTTATCTCTAGTTTAGCCAACTCTTTGTCCAAATAAAAATTACTATTAGTAGTATTATGTAGTAATGCTCTTTTGAAGCCTTGCCCACCAGAAAATCCTGGGTTTGCAGGTGTCCCTGCTGTGCTCGGTGTGAGAAGCTGTCCCTGTTGCAGTGTTCTTGTTGGCTCCTGGAGGAGGCTCTGGTGTCATTTTCTAGAGGTCAGGCTTTGACTCATGTAAAAGGTGATTTGAGGGATCTGAAAAACCACGAGCTGAAATAATTTCACCTAACTTTAGCCATCTTTATGTATCTTCGCTAAATGAATTTTTAGCATCCCTGTGTTTGCAAGAGACAGGTGTTTGCTTTGGTCACCCACACTCCCACATTACTGGCTCCAGCTGAGATACTTGGGTCTCCAGACATTTGTGAGTGGCTCTCAGGCATGACAGAGACCCTTGCCACCTGGAGTGTCAACTGGAGGCTGAGCACGGTGCTTTGCTGCACTTCAAATGGCACCAGCTGCTCCTGTCTAGGTTGGAGAACTGAATCTTGTCTGAAGAGGCAATTCCTCCCGCCTACTTTGGACATCTTAATAAGTGTGGGGTGGAGGAAGACTGCCACATGGCTTGATGCCTACTCCAGAAAAGACTCCTTTTCAGTGGTTCAAGTCAGACAAGATTAATTTAACAGTACTTCCTGTATTATTTCACATCTCTTCCTGTCAAATCTAGTTTGAAGTCACAGGTCATTTAAGTCACACCAGTTAAGCCAGAAAAGAACTTTAGATTAACAATATTTAATATTTACATATATCGGTGAGGTCAACGATTGCACAGTTGGCAGAACAGAGGGTTTGGTGTCCCTGTAAGCACAGAGAGGTGACAGTGAGCATCCATCCCCAGGACAGGACAGCCTGGAACAAGCAGATGGCAGCAATACAGTGCATTTCCTCTCCCATGGTGGGGGTGGTGTGTGCTGGTGGGTTCTCTCCCTCCCTCGGGGCTGGCACTGTCCAAACTGGTTTTATCATAGAGAAGACAGTCGGGGAGACAGAACTAAAGGATTAAGGCAGGGCTGATACTTAGGGACTGTGAAGAGCTCATAGAGCCCCTCTGCAGATGAGGGAGTCTCTCTCCACCTGGCTGCATGTTAAATAGCCTTACTTCTAGGTGTTGCCTTCACTCTTTTTCTGGTTGAATTATTTGGCTTTATTTTGATGTCCGCTTTACATAGTAGCACTGTCCAGGTTTCACTGCTGACAATGAACATCAACTTTTTAAGCCACCTGGCAGGTTTGGATGTACCTAGTCATGACTGCAAACTTCAACAAGTTTTATGGTTTGGTTTTCTTTTTTTTTTCCTTTTTTTTTTTCCCAGAAAGGGCTTTTAAGTTTAATAGGTCAAATTTCCTGCTTATAGAGGTGAAGCTATGCTCTGAGGAAGTGTACGTGTGCTCCTTATCTTTGAAAAAACAACATTTTATTCCCAATTTTATATAAAGAGGACATTTATACAAAACAATTTGTGTGATCCTTTAGAGGACAGCACAAACAGCCATGCGATAACTATGTTCAGACAACTTGGTTCCATGCTACAATGCAGGAATATGAACAACTTTTGACTGAGGAAACTCTGAAAAATAGACTCCAAGGGCTTTAAGTATATTCTGATTATCGTGACTGCATACGTGCATTCAGGGTGGAGAAAGGGTGTCTTACAGTTTGGCTGAGTCAGGGAAGCCAGTGACATGTCCAAGAATTAACCTTTGAGGAAGTCACTGAAATGATGAGATTTCTGAAATTTGCCAGTCACGGACTTTAGCATCAAGAGCTTTATCTTGAGCGATGATGGAGAATTAGGCAGTTCCTGGTTGGGATTACTGCTGCTGTAACACTAAGGCTGATGCAATTTGTTGCCTTGCAGATTGTATCTCTTATTTATCAGTAAGCTGCACATAATTACTGTCTTTATAGATTTAATGTTTATCACTACCAGTTAATTACTTTGTCCATGTGATCTAGAACAGCCCAGCAGACCTGTGTGGACATTAGTGAGACTCCTATGCAGTCTCGTGAGGGTAAAATTGGTGCTGAGGTTCTGCTTTTTGTGAAAACAGACATAGCTAAGATTTTGCTCCAAACCCTGCTGTCTATATTGGCCCACATGTCCCACCAGGGCTATGACATCTCTCAGATGCTCCTGAATAACTGATTTAGAAGTGCACTGAACTTTGCTGTACATGACAACAGGCTACTGAACAGGCACAAGGGGATTTGCCTTCAGAGCGCCTGAAGAAGGCTGAAAACTCTGTGCTTTGGTTGCCTCTGCAGGGTCACAAATGCTGCTTCATATAGTCTCTGCTCATCCTAATTTAACTCTGGGAGTATCCAGTTAGCAAGTGAATAGGAATAGACAGGTCAGGTCACAGTGGGATTTGGGGGGGGGACCGGAGATTATTTACATCCAGACAGAGAGCACCTGCCTTGTGCAGCTGATAAATGTACACATTAACAACGGTTCCGTTTCCCATATACACAAGAGGGCAAGTGATAGCTTTTATGTGGGGACTGTTGTGTTTCATGCACAAGTAGAGCAGTCAGGACCAGAGAGATTAGTGGTTTTGCCAGTACCTGAGGTTTAGAAGGAATATTTAGAGAGATGAAGACCTGGAGCTTCACACCTAAATAATCTAGCCCTTTTCCACCCTAACTTCTTTATAAAAAAATCATTTTGCCCAATGAAACTCCTGAACATTTTTGGTTTTCTTTGTCATCACCCCATAAATACAGTGCAGTGCACTCCCCTTATTGTATGTGAATTGCAGCTTGAAGCTTGTCCTGGCATCCCCTGTAGGTCATTCACATTCCAGAAATATTTGTCTGAAAGGCAATGAATGAAAGACGATTAATTGATATTCCAGACCAATATCAGACTTACTAAAAGCATCTTGTACAATGAAAATAAACAGTGTAAAGGAAGCAGTGGTGATAAATGAAACCTGAGAGAGGTTTTCTTCCATTTTGTAAAATGACATTTTTTACTGCTGTTGACCGATTAAAAACATCTCTACTTCTCATCTCTCTCACTTACAGATGCTGGGGAGTCATTTCACATTATCAAAAAGGCTTCTTGAATAGGAACGCAACAGAATATGTCAATACATCACATTGCTCTGCTGTTTTGAAATATCTGAGGACGGAGCTATCCCTGACTACAATGGGACGGAGAAAAAGACAGTGTGCAAATAAATGTTTCTGCACTGCTTCATTCGGGGCTGCGCAGATCTCTCTGATCATGTACCACTCACAGATCCTGAAAACTAAAAGTGGTAAGAATGTAAAGCACTCTGATATCTTTTACTGCATACCAACCTTTCTTCTCCTCATACATGTGCCACATATGAAGCCGGTAAGTCCATTGATGACTTGAATAAAACAAAGAATAGCTTCAATCACACCAATGGCCAGGAGAATAGAGAAAAGGACAATGTTCCAAAGGATGATGTTTTCAGGTTCTTTGCAAATGCTCCATGTTGTCTGGTTGAACAAATAATTTTCTCTGTGATAGAGAAAAATAATTGGGAATGTATTAGAAAATAAACATTTGAGAATGCTTTCTGTATTTTCTGGCATTATATTTTTCTGAACTTGATTGCCCAAAGTGAGTCTCAAACTTTACTATAATTGTAAAAGCTGGTGATTCACTTCAGAATTCCTTTTACAGATGTGCAATTGAAGACTGGGGAAGAGAGCTACATCTGTACTTTGTTGCATGCATAAGAATCTCCCTTTTGTTTTATGGCAGTGTTAATAACTAAAGGGAAAGTTTGATGGTTGGACTCGATGATCTTAAAGGTCTTTTCCAACCCAAACCATGCTGTGAAAGATCCCTAATGGTTTAAAAATGTGTCTCCATATTCTCCATTCCTGTTGTGGTATCTCAGGCCAGTTCATCCATCAACTCTAGCTCTGGCTTGAAGAGCTTGGTTGCCAAGGTTAACTTTAAAGATTCAGAGAATCTGAATTTTTGCTTTGCTTTTCAGAATTAGGTAGAGTAGACTCAATTCACAATGATTTAACAGATTAATGTGGCATAGTTATCAAACACTTCCTCTTGACTCTGGTGGAAGTCACAGCTCAGCGGCCTTTTGAAGGTGTGGTGCAACTTGCACAAGGGGCTGCTGACAAGCACAACAGAAGAAACTCAGGCAGTTTGCCCAGAGATGATCCTTGGTCAAAGAGATGACCAGCTGGAACATGCTGGCTCCAAGGACTGTGAATTTAGGTGCAAGTGGGTGGACCATCGGTTCACTCTGGAAAAATTCAAATTTGCTATGGAAAGATGGAGGGAGTGCAGGTTTAGGGAAAGCTAAATTGGAGGAGCCTGTAAGTTATACTCACTGCAGAGTGTCATTCCTGAAAGGGTAGAGGTATTCTCCATCACCTGTGTCACACAGAGGGCCCCCAATGAGCCCCAGCGAGGAGATGACGGCACAATATGCCCCTCCCGCAAATCCCAGTACAGCCAGGACCACTGACAGCAGCATCTGAAAGGAAAAAGATGTACAGAGGCAATGAGTAGCTTGGAAAACTTACACTGAACAGGAAAGAAATTATCTTTACATGTTTCTTACTATATGTTGAAACTCGTAATAATAGTATGATATTTGTGGAAATAAAAATTAGTCAACTGTCTGACTAGTGCAGCTATCCTAGCTGTTTAAAGATTTCAGACTGTATTTGTTCTACTTTTAACAATGGGTAAGCCCAAAGCTTTAATTATGGAGAGTTTTATACTTGACCCATCAATTATAAAAAAATCTGGTGGATCTTCTTTCAGAAACCCACTGTGAAGTCAGTACTGGTTGATGTGGTCTACGTCACGTGCCTTGGCATTTCCAGCTCTTCACCAAGAGCACCTTTCTCAGCCCCTTGTACCAACAGAAGCTAGCAAGCAACTAGCAAGCAACCAACCAGGTATGAAAGCCACAGAAGAGGCACTAGTTGTTTTTGCTAATTAATGAGGAATGCAAAAGATCCTTCTCATTGCTGCTTTCCTTCATTTTGTAAGAGCATGGCATGTGGTTACCATTGCTGGTGTTGAGAAATCCAATTGTGCTGCGTGTGCCAACGAACCAGTGGTGACTTCAAATGAAATGCAATGCACCTGTACGTTTTGCATTGGCCACTCCCAGAGAAATTTTGTCTTTGCTCTGTTTTGGGGTAGTTTTCTATTAATGGGTGAGATGCATCTGGTTGCCATTTGTATGTAGAAACAAGAATCTCAGGCTGGTGCTACTGGTAGTGTATCTGGGACAGGCCTCCCAGTAGGCTTGTTAAAAGTCACTGCCTGTGGTTTTTCACAACTCTGCCAAGAAGGAGAAGAGTAAAGGAAACTCTGGAGCAAACTGGCAGAGGCAGGGGAAGACCAGGGCAGAGGCACAGCTGAGGAAGGGCATGGGAAACGCTCCCATCCACAACTTGGGTTTGAAGCCAAAAACCTCAGTCCTCACATTTCTCTGTTGCCAACAAATACCAGCAAAATCTGATAGCCCACAAGGACGGCAGAAACCTTCTCCTAATGCCAGCTGCTCCACAGAGCTCTGCATTACAGAGTTAAATGGAAATACCCACCATCCACGTTGCAGATTTGTGACATAGTCATGAAAATTATTCACCATCTAAATGTGTTCAAGCTGATGAATGCAGTTTCCAACTTGCCAGCCATGACATTACTGCTTTCTGAATTGACTCATTTTGTGTGTACTTTGCCTCTAAAGCAATCCTTGAGTTAGAAGTTGCTGGGATTTCTCATGAGATTTATTTCATCATCACTGATTAATAACCCTGTCTTTTTTTGCAAAGCTGGACACTCTTTTTGTCTTTATCTGCATGTTGGCTGAGATGCCTCTTAGCAGAGCTTCACTGTCAGCAAAATGTAGGTAATTTAGTATATTGTTCCAGCCAAAAGCAGTGCTGGGTTGTAGCTGATGCACTGTCACTCACAAGAAGAACAGCAGCCATGCCTCGCGGTAAAGGTGAATAACTGATGCTGTCTGAAACTTCTACTCTGAAGCCCTGCTCCCCACCTGCTTTCTCATGTACTTCAACTGCTTATTCTCCATCTTGACTGAAGGATCTTAATTATGCTAAAGATTGGTTTTAGCACAGCATACCAGTATGGGGGATACCAAATACAATTATGATAGAAAAAAGTCAAATGGTCTTTCACTACTTCTCTGTTTTATGACAGAGGACAGTACTCCTACAACCAGTACTCATCAGTGCTGTCTCTGATGGCTATTCTTTAAGACATGATTTTCTCATTTGAAATCTGTTGGCTGTATGGGTAACTTCATCTCACCTATTTGTTTTACTGTGCACATGATTATATAGACAAAGACTACTTGTCACTTGTTCACAAAGGGAAGTCTGAAGTTGCTGCAGCTCTCCTGGGCATTTTCTGGGCACGCAGTGGCATTTCCTCATTATATCTACTCTTCTGGAGGCTTGTCCTGTATTGTATGGAAATCCAACAATTACATTAACTATTACATCATCTCAACCTTTCAGCATTTTTCCCAGCTGTACCACCTAAATTAATCACTTTTTGATATTTTTTATTTCCTTATTTGTGTCTTCAGTCACAACATGAGGTCTAAGCTGGGATGCTTGAGTTCGTTGAAATTAGTTTTCCAAGGTGTTGGCTTGTTCTCCATCTCTCACAAAGGTTTTGCTGAATACTTTTGCTGGTTTTCTTTTAATGCTTTCCCTGATTTATCCTTCACACAACTGTTTAGTCTCTGCTGAACTGATGAAGACTTAACATTCATTCTTCGAGCATTTACATCAGCTGCTTTAGTGAAGTTACCAAATTCCTCCTGTCCTGGTTTGTGTGGCTCTTTATTGCTCTGATTCTTTTTTCAGTTACATTTCTTTCTTCTCTCTTTCTCTGGAGGTGGGCTGGTTTTTTGGTTTTGGGTTTGTTTTTGGTTTTTTTTGGAATTAATATCTTGTCTGGTTATCCAGATATCTTTGCTTAACTAGGTTTGCTTGTCTGGAAAGCTGCTATGGCTATTCCTGTTCTACTAGCAACTCTTAAGGAAGGCTTAGAGGGAAATGCCGGAGTATGTTTGCTGCTGTAACGGCATAAGCTGTATTTTGGGGGGGGATTTTTTCCTCATTATGACAGTGCACATATGTACACACTAAACTGCAAGATGCGGAAGCTTTCTAAATCTGTTATTTTCCAAAATAATTACACCATAATGCAAGGACAAGAAGCCGTCTAGGTACGTTTGCAGGCAAAAATTTAAAATAGATTAATGAAAAAAACTCAGTGCAGCATGTAATCACTGTGAACTGGAGAACTTAAGGTGAATAAAAGGATGAGAAAGTTAGTAATTATTACTGTTGTTGGTACTTCAGCAGCGTGTAAAGGCTGTGATGAAGTCTGAAACTATTAAAGCAGGGATTACACAAGGTATAATAGGATAGAGTCCCTACCCTGAGGAACATGGTTACATTCTGATTGAATAATAATTCTGTTCAATATTAGTTATTTAGTCTTTTTTTTTCCTGTGAAAAGCAATGCTGACTATTCAGTGTAAATTATAATTTTATACCTAAGGTCCCTAAAGCAGAAAGGTGGACAAACCAGCCTTTGGATTACACAGGCTCCTGGGTAGCTCCAGTGTGGGCTGTTTCTCTGCCAGTAGACAGAAGTTGATGAACAAACCACCAGGAGTTGGGGACCCCCTATCAGGTCCACCCAGACCAGTCTCACAAGGACCTCTGACGCATTGGGAAGTCGCTGCCATTGTGCATGTTTGAACCAGTCCCAGGGCTCCCCTGCTCTCCATCACCTGGTGATTCAGACCATAATCCGCCTTGGGTTTACAGCCCATACAGTCAGGGCATCTGAGCAACCCTGCTGTATTTCCTGCATTTCTGCAGTCTCTGCATTTCCTCCTGGTATCCTCAAAGTAAAGTTTCCCTGAGGTTTCTTCTCTTGAAGAAGTACATCATTCAGATTTCCCTGCAGTACTCACCTCTTTCTGCATGCTTGAAAATCACACTTCCCCAGGAGCTGTTCTGGGAGAAACAGTTGTTTTTAATGCCATTCATAGCCCCTCACTCTTTGCTCGTGACCCCTCCTCATCTCTACATTGAGCCACATTCTGTTTAAACCACAGGGTGACTTGTAGAGCTGCACTCCTTTCCACCTCAAAGAGGTGGGCAATTCCCACAGTCTCAGAAGACAGCACTTTTGAAGATAAACTGTTCTCACTGAGCATATTCTCTAGTTTGGTCAGAGTAGCTTCATCACCTGGCCATCAGCTCATAATCAAATAGCACATAATCAAACTAGTTTCTCAACAATGTCTATTGTATTCCTTTATAACAGTAAATAAGGAGGAGGAGGAACAGCTTGTGGGTACCTGAGTGATAGGAAGATGCAGATAGGATATCTGACATCCTTGTGCTGCTGCTAGGAATGGCTCAGACAGCGAAAGGGTGACGGAGGGGAGCAGAAGAGTGTGGTGGGGGTCTGCAGATGCGGACCGCCACACGGCACTGTGGTACCACCTGCATTGGTGGGCTGGGGGAGCAAACCCAGCTGGTCTGAGGAAGTTTGACTCTTGGCTCTGTAATATTTAGTGCTGGGATGAAGGACGGACAAGGGAGACCTGAGATGCTGTGTGAGCTGAGCCCAGTTCAGCTGGATTTGCCCTTGTGACTTGCCACATTCAGCAGAGCATTGGGAACACCCACAGTACAGCTGTTTTTCACCACTGCATTCTACATCACTCAAACCCTGGAGAAGCAGCTGGCTCAGGTGCAGGGTTCAGGGTGCCCAGGCTCGCACTCTGCAGCTGGCCCACTGGGCCATCGTTAGCAAATCCTCCTTGCTGTGCGTGTGATAAATCAATGTAATGAAGCATCCCTTGGAATGCACTTGCTGACATCCAAATAAAGAATGGTATCATGAATAATGAATTAAGTAAAACATCTTGAAGAGGTAAAGGTTTTGTCATGGATCAAACTAAATATTAATTGAAGGTCATGGAAAAGACATGCTTTATTGTATGGTATGTCTCATTCTAGGCTGCTTCTGGGAAGGATGCAGACTAAAAAGATATTTCTATGTCAGTTTATTCTTGCTAATAATGATAACCACATAGACGTCTGTACCCAGTACTTAAGGATTAATGGAGATGCCTGTATAACATGTTGCTTTTGCATATGCTTAATTATCAAGGGAAAAAGTCTCTCTGGCCTTTCTGTGAATAACAAAGAGCCCAAATTGCATTTGTACCTTTCATGTGCATAACACTTGGGAAAATACATGCTACGGGTCAAGGACTTCCATGAGGACCAGCCTCCAGGAAGCAGTGCTGGCTACTCAGTGTCAGCCAACAGCCTCAGGCTTTTATCATGGGCCTGCAAAGTAGGGGACAGACGTGCCCTTACAGAGATAAGCAGGGAGGAAGCAAATTGCCATGGAAGGGTGTGGAGGAGACAGGACCAGGTGGGAGCAGAAGGAACAGGCCACTGTCTCAGTCTTCAGGATTGTCTTTGTAGGGACAGAGACAGGCCTGGAGACTAAATCAAGCTCTTCTTCTGCATTTCACTGACATGGCTGTTGATGGTGGTGTGATGGTTTGTCATGGTATGTTTCCATCTGCTGAGCAGCCAATTAAGAGCTATTGTGCAAACCCTGTATTGCCATTTCAACATGTAAATATCCACTTACCCCACATCTGTTAGCACAACATCTTGCTCCACCAGCTCCCAGCATCATGAATGCCGGCAAAAGAACCTGTGAGAAAAGCACAAGCATTGGTGTGCAGTACTTCTGCTGGGATGTTTTTTTGAAGTCTAGGAGCTGGGGCATCATGTTCCTCACCACTTCCTGCCTCTGTGAGTTACACCTGCTTAGATGTTGGTGCCTGTTGAAAAGTAACTCAGGAAGAAGTGTGGGATTACGGCTAGAGTGGCTGGCAAGTTTCTGGTACAGCAATTCTGGCTACTAAACCTATACTGCTTCTTTTCAGCAGGTGTTTGTTTTTTCAGGAACAAACGTGTCAGTTTTGAGAAAATGAGATTTCTGCACAGAAAAGATAACTGGAATAAGAATTATGTCAGTTTAAATCTTCTGAGCATCTGCTCTGGATAATTGGGAAATCTGTCTTAAACTTCCTGGAACATATCTGACTTTAGTTCTTTGTGTTAAGCTTCTGGAAAACCTACAAAATGGACTTCACTCAATAGCGAACTCCCAGTTCACATCAGCTTTCTCCACGGAAATTATCACATGGAGCTGGACTGATACAATGGAGGAAGCGACCATCTGTGTCTCAGGATGTAATGCCACCTTACAGAGGCACTCTGGGGATAGGAAAAGCTGCACTTTATGTGGTATCTAGAGAGCAAGAAAGCTTTTGTGGGTCTAGCTGTGTAGCCAGAGCACTCCTGCTGCCCTGCCTCTGCCCACCACTGCTTGTGTAGGCACCTCATAGAGCAACTCAAGAAAAGAAGCATTTTACAAAATAGGAAATGGTCCCTGTAAAGTTAATGGAAGAAGGAGACACAGACATTCCCCAGACAAGCAATCAAAAAAGGTAAAAGCTGTAAAAACAGCCTGATTACTTTTTGGAGAGATGTCCCATATAGAGAAGGAAGAGCAGAATGTTCATGGTGAATGAAGCCTGGGAAATTTATGTGCATAGTGTGAATATTCCTATCAGACTGCATAAGACAGTGTTATGAAACCTGCTTAGGTTTTCAGGCCCCTAAATGTTTTCCAATGGATTTGCTCTTTGTTTATGCACACCTCTGAGGCAGCCTCCATCACCTGCAGTGGTTGCTGGACCACAGCTGTGGAGGCTGAAGATATAGGCCTTTAAGGTTAAAAAGATGTTCCTCTTCCTGGAAAGAAGTCATCTCTTAAATAATCACAGGTGGTCCTCAAGGCAGCCTCAGCGTGTCACTATCTGGCATTCATGAAGAGAGCTAATACCTCTACCCATCAAACCAACACTCCCTTTCCTCCAGGCCTGTCTTTCTTCTTTGGAGGTTTCCCATCTAAGCTGTGGGTACTTCTGTGTCCTTTATTAGCCTGGCTCAGGACGAAGGGTTTGCTTGGCAGCTTGCTTTTTTTTTTGCAGTGCCTGATTATAGACACCTGCTTTTTGACATGGGAATGAGAATTTGCTAGGTTTGGCTGTTGACAGTAAAATGAGGCTGTGAGTGAGCCATGGCTCTGTCAGGCATTTCCCAGTGTTGCTCACAGGCTTTCCATAAGGAAAAATGTTACTATGACACATAGATCCAGCATTGCTCTCTTTACACCCTAAACTTTTGAAATCAGGAAATAGAGAGGTTTTCACGTCTTACAAATTCCCATTAGAGAAGCAGTGGAGGAGGAAAGGGTGGGGCTGACTGCTCAGCTGAAAAGTGAGCTGATGATCTAGGTATCAGCCTTATGGACTAAGCTCCCGGGTAGAGGCAGTTTTTCTGGCTCACAGAGCCAGGCGAGCCTGTTATGAAGTTTCCCTCACTGTCCTGGCTCCAGAGGCTGTGTCCTGGGAGGGAGATTCTTCAAGGTCAGGCAATCTGTTGGCATGACTTTCTCCCCAGCCCTGAGTTTCCTTCAGGGAGGACCTGGATGCATAGGGGGATGCCATGCAGCCCAGTCTGTCCTCACTGTGGAGTCAGGATATGGCCTGGGCTTCAGTTGCAGGGCACTCCACCCCTTGCTTAGCTCCCTAGGAGGCCCAGAAGCCAATCTTCATTTTTCTATGCTTCCAGTACCTGGAAGATGGAGCTGATGATAATGCTGTCTTTCTCCCTTTCTTCACTTCTGGGCAACTCTCATGATGTTTTCTGGAAAATACATACATTTGACAGCATTGTTTGTGGATCAATGCTGTGTTTTGAAGGTCAATGCAAATTTTTTCTCCCCTCTCACTTGCTGTTCTCATTTTTGATATAGGTAGTGCTGGCCACAGGCAAGCCTCTGTGGAAGCCATAAAAGAAGGCACGTTTTCAATGAGTCTGTGATGCTCTCATGCCTAGCATCTGCCTTTCCTTTCATTGAGCGCCAATGACTCCTCGGCTTGCAGTGATATGAGTTTTCCACAGGTCTCTCATGTAGTTCCACTTCTTCCTTTAGGCTCCCTTCCACAAACTTACGCTTACGTTCAAGCTCAGTGTGAGTAATAGGCCCAAGCGGTAGCTGGAAGAAGAAGCAGGCAAGCTGCTGGTGGAGAACAATTTATTAAATGATGTTATACAATGTTTCTGCTTTGGGAAATATGAGTCTGAACCACATCTATTGTAGCTTTCTATAGACTTAATTTGCTTTTTTCTAAGTTAATTATTCATAAACAGTAATTTTTTTTATGCACACGTAGCCAGCTCTGTGCCAGTTTACCATCTGCCTAGGCTGTGCAGCAGCCAATACTTGCGATATGCAAGTTACTTGCTCAGCTTTTTATCTGCACTTGGATGGATAATTGAAAGAGCGTAAAAGGAGCAGGTTTTCTGAAGAGGTGGAAAGATCAGTATTCCCAAACATGTTCCCTTCTAGTTATGGATATTCACATAAAAGCAATCTTCCCTGGGTGATGGAATGTAGAACTGGTTATAGAAGAGCACATACAAACCAGACCAAACCCTAAAGCAGGAAGGTGGGTGTGCGGGAACACAGGAGGCATTTGGGATTTAAGCCATTTGCAGCTCCATATTAACTGAGTGTTGGCTGGGTCTCTAACGAACACCTACTGAAACATGTTTCAGTTTTGCCTTTAATGATTTTTGTGAATTATGTGAGAATAAAATCAGTTAGAGGAGTAATGAGGGGGTGCAGCCAATAGTGAAAACTTACTGCCTCCAGCTGAGCTTATAGGACCTCAGCTTTGCTTTGACTCACAGAGACACAAACATCCATGTCATCCTTCTCCAAAGCAAAAAAATCAGTTCTATTGCTTCCTTCTGACTTGGAATCCTGACGTGTATTTCAGGAATACCTTGTATTCCTGTGATTAGGGACTTTCTCAGTCTTGAACCTCAACTACCCAGTTAAGCCGCTTCTGTGTTTTTGCAAAAGACATTTCAATGACTTCTTTTGTTAACAGAGGTTTTCTTAGTGACGAATTGAAAACAAACCAAACTAAACCCATAAGAAACAGTAGCAACACTTCTCTCTTACCAGTATCCCAGCTCCCAGAATACCATGGAAAAACCAGACCAGATCGGTTATCTCGCTGAGCTGCAGAACTCGTCCATTGGGGAAGTACAGGAGGATGTTGGAGACTATGGCACATGCTGCCAGTGGGAACAGGGCAATCCCAATGCACTTCGAACACTTCCCAGTGCACATGGTAGCTCTCTGCGGAGGAAAGACACAGGGAGGTTTGGGTTACTGCAGCACAAGGAACATGGGGTTTCAGCAGTTTACTTCTTTAATGAAAGAAGAATAATTTTTTTAGCAAGAAATGTTCCAGGTAAGACTTACACAGATAATCCTGCTCTACAGAGCCTGTTCCCTTCAGAGACTTTATTTAAAATGGAATTATTAAAAACTGGATTGTTTAACTGAATTTATTTAAAATTGCCAGGACTAAACATGTATTGGTATGAAATGGATGGAGAGTTTTATTTCAGTTGTTAATGCACAATTGAGTGCCCATTGGGAACATCAGTAGCGCAACCATGGCTGTACAAATGGAGACCCTGCCTAGCAGACTTCATGTTGAGGAAAGACCTTGGGTGGATGGAGAGGTGGATGCACCAGGCTGTCTGGGACCACTGTCTTGGGAAGCTGATCTGAAATTTCCTGCACTGAAGGTCCAGTAGAGCAGCAA